GATTTATGGCAACAGAAGCAGTTGCGGTGGCAAGATTTATAGTGCATTCGGAAAGTACTGGGGAATTCTGGGAGTTGGAGTCCACATATCATAAAGTTGCCGAGGTTGAGAAACACTGGTGTAGATAAACAGCCTGTAGAAGATTGATAGTTAGAATATAGCTTTAGTATTAAGATATTATTTTCTGAAACAGTTGAAGGCATTTATAATTGGCAACTCCTGTGCTTTTGCGGAGGTGGTGGCTGATAGGTCAGCTTCCCTGTTTAGTAAAATAAATGTTTCCCCCAGTCGTAGAGAGAGATGCAAAAGAAAAAAAAAACCCAACTGTCCAGGTTTCCAGTTCTATGTGTCTTTATTGGGTCTGGGTCAATTCCCTTATTTGTAGTTCAAAGATAAAATGAACCCATGACAAGTAGGTTGAGCTGAGAGAGTGGGACTGACCCAAAATCACCCAGCGAGCTTCCAGGGCTGAGTTTGGACTTGATCCTAAACCCCCTGCCCACCCCCCACTCCCCTCCTGGTCTAGCATTTAACAACCACACCAGCTCTGTTCTTACAAAAATTCTGGGCTCCCTCTTCAAATCCAGTGAGATTTGGATGTTTCCATGTGTTTAGGCGGCTTGCTTGTTTCTTCAATCGTTAACTGCCTGCACACTTTGGAAAATATTGCAAGAGTGCCCACTGATTAAAACCTGTGCTCTAAAATATTATTATGGTGTGTAGGAAAGAGTGTTGTTTAGATAAAATTGGGTTAAAAAAAAAGAAATAAGGGGCCTGTGTGTTGAAAAATTGAATCCTTCTAACTACAACCATGCTGGTTATTAAAAACATCCTCTCCTTTTTTTTCACCAACTGGAGGAAAGACGGTAACATTTTATTAGATTTTACACTGAAAGGGCCTGAATGGGAAGACATAATCAGTATCAAGTGCAATCAGTTTAGATTTCACTCCAGTTTGTAGTGGAAAAATGAAGCCACTTCAGTTCACATTTGTGCTCTGATTCACAGGGTTGAGTTGAATCAATTCACTTCAGATTTGCATTTTGGAGGGTCAAAGTAATTCTGTAAAAGGGTGGGCACTCCTGTGCAAAATTTCTATTCGATCATCCAAGGCATGTCAAAGGGCAGTGGAAATTCAGTGACATCATCATGGCTGCTGTCCTAACTTTTTTGATCCTCAAGGCACCCAATTTAATTTAGTGTGTGAAATGTATTCAGAAAGTCAATTTGAAGATTTGAGTTTGAAGGAGTAATTTGATCAAATCCAAGCTTTACGCGGCTTTAGTAAGGAGTTGCTGTTTCATGTAATTGATGGCTGAGGTTTCACCCCAAAATTATTGGACATCTTGGGAAATTAATTCACAGGTAATTTCCACTGCCCTAGAGTGTTCCATCAAATGTTAATATGGATGCATCAGGGCTTGATTATCTACCTTCAGTCTCAGCTCATTAAGACTCTCCACATCCGATTAAGCAAAATCCAGTGGCTATCTAACATGACATTTGCTGAGGGACAACATGGAACACATAGAAGACTCAGCCACATGGTTGGCCTAATTCCCATAGAGTATCTTGTTGATGACAGGACGATGCAGGTGTTCTCCAGTTTGACAGAAGATTCCCTTGGCTGCCCAACCAACTCTGGAGTTAGGAAGGTAGAAGAAAAGTCCTGTGTCTTACATTTGAGGCTGTAGTGCACTGGCGTTCTCCATTTGGCATTATTTGCAGCTGGTAGAAGAGTAGTCTTGAAGGTGTGTAGGTTATGTGATCATTATCCTAAAACAACTTATGCAGATAAAGCTGCAAACAAGGAAATTAAATGAACCTGAAACAGATTTTTTAAAATTCCCAAAGATGTGTAGAAAGCCTGTTGTTATTGTTCCTTATGGATATCACCTAGATTTTCTAGACCCCAAAATCAGTCTTGGTTCTTCATCCTTTTTTTTTTTTTGGTCAAGATTTGTTCCCCGTCCCTCTCCACAGATATTTTTGTACTGATTGCCTCTGTCCCCGTGGTAGCTGTTGGCAACCAAGGCAACGTCCTGGCTACATCGCTGAGAAGTCTCCGTTTCCTCCAGATCCTGCGAATGCTGCGTATGGACCGGAGAGGTGGTACCTGGAAGCTTCTGGGATCAGCTATTTGCGCACACAGCAAGGTAAGGAGCGGAGGCCAGGGAAGCCGAATGGGATTGTAAGGTTCACGGCTACCCAGAAAACTTGAAATCAATCGGCAGCACAACATAAAAGACTTCAAGCAGGGACTTCTCTAAGCAGCGTTT